GCATCCGATAATGCGTCTATACTCCGTCACGTCCACCGGTGTTCCTTCAGAATCCTTCCCAAGCTTTAGCTTTGTTTCCATATGATATTGGGTCGGGTTGCAATCCATCATGCCGAACTGACCCAAAACTTTCTTCGCATAGGCCGCCTGCCTTAGTGCAATGCAATCATCTCGCTGATCCACCTCAATGCCAAGATAATAGGAAAGTAACCCAAGGTCACTCATCTCGAACTCCATTATCATTTGTTGCTTGAAAAACTTTATCTCATCCGCCCTCGAGCCCGTAACAATCAAGTCGTCTACGTACACGCCAACAATGAGTGTATCCCCTCTGTTACTCCTTGTGTATACCGCCTGCTCCTGAGTGCATCTTGCAAATCCGATGCCCTTCATGCACTTGTCGAGGCGCGTGTTCCATGCCCGAGGTGCTTGGCGTAGACCGTAGAGCGCCTTTGAAAGCTTGTAGACCTTGTGCTCTTGATTCTTCACAACGAACCCTTCAGGTTGAATCACATAAACTTCTTCCTGGAGATCACCATTTAGGAATGCGGACTTCACATCCAAATGGTGCACCTCCCACCCGTTCTGTGCTGATATAGCGAGGATTATTCTGATGGTATCAAGCCTCGCCACAGGTGCAAACACCTCATCGAAGTCCACGCCTTGCTGCTGGACGTACCCTTTTGCTACAAGTCTTGCTTTGTGCTTGAGAATGTTGCCTTCATTGTCCTTCTTCAGCTTGTACACCCATTTGAGACCAATGGGTTTGGAACCCCGCGGTAACTCCGTGAGTACCCAAGTCTTGTTCTTCTCGATGGCCTCCATTTCCTTCTCCATGGCAGTCCGCCATTCTTGATCTGATGCGGCCTCGAGATAGTTCACAGGTTCTTCAGAAATCAGGAACAATTCCTCTGCAGGAAGATCGATCATCTCCGTCTCCGCATAGATGTCCGCAAGGGATCGATAGCGTATAGGAGTCATCACTGCAGCTTCAGGGGGTCCGAACGCGTCCAAGACAGTGGGATTTGCTGCCTCTGCAGCAGTTTCTGAACCTGCGACAGTTTGCGGACTGTTTCGGCCTGCTGTTGGCTGCCGCCCTCGGTGTGCCGGCTGTCCAGACTGAACTGCAGGAGACTCCAAACTCGTATTCGCCACCTGCTGTGCCGGCCGCATGTGGCGTTTCTCGCTAGATGAACTGGCTGTTGTTGACTACCGCCTCGTGTGCAGTTCTCCATAACTGAACTGCTGTTGTTGACTGAACTGGGCAGCTGCTGGCATCCTGGGGACAGTTCCGGCTGGTTGACAGTTTCGGCCAGCAACTGCTGGTTGACAGTTTCGGCCAGCAAGTGTTCCTGCAGGGGCTGTTCGGCCAGCAGGATTCTCCCCTCTTCGGGCAGCAGTCTGTCCAGTTTGGACAGCTGAAATTCCTCCGGTTGTTGTAGTCTCCCCTTCCGCTGTGTACTCCGTCCAGTTAGGTGATCTTTCGACTCCATCGGCGCTCCATTCCCATATTTTTCCTTCCTCGAACGCGACATCCCTACTGACCTGAATTCTGCCGTGTTGAGGATTATAAAGGCGATGCGCTTTGCTTCCTTCTTCTACCCCAATATACACCATTGGCGTGCTCCGGTCGTCGAGTTTCTTATGAGAAGGACCTGCAATCTTCACATGCACCATACATCCAAAAACTCTCAAGTGTTCTAGGTGGGGTTTCTTACCAAACCAAGCTTCGTAGGGTGTGTGATCGTACAACGCCTTGGTTGGTAGTCGGTTGAGGATGTACACCGCGTGCCTAACCGCTTCGCCCCACATGGTTCCAGGCATATGCATGCTCTTAAGTAGGCTTCTCGCCATGTCCATCACCGTGCGGTTACGCCTCTCCACTACACCGTTTTGTTGCGGGGTGTACGGTGCAGTGAGATGACGCTTGATGTCGTAGTCTTCACACAACTTTGTGAACTCCTTTGACAAGAATTCGCCACCACGATCCGTCCTTAATGTCTTCACCTTGTGGTCACATGCGTTCTCAACCTCTGTTTTGAACTTCTTGAAGGTTTCACAAGCTTGACTCTTGGCCTTCAACATGTATACCCACATCCATCGGCTGAAATCATCAACGATAAGAAGAAAGTAGTTGTTCCCAGCAAGTGTAGATGGGGTGATAGGACCACATAGGTCAGCGTGTAGTAACTCCAGCGGCTTCTGAGCTCTGAAATTTGCTTGCGAAGGGAACGGTAGTCTTGCTTGCTTGGCGACGAGACATCCTTCGCATAATTGATTCGGGTGCAAGATCTTCGGCAACCCGGAAGCCATCCTCTTATCAGTCATCATCTTGAGGGCGAAGAAATTGACATGCCCAAGGCGAGCATGCCATAGCCAAGCTGGATCGTTAATATTCGCCATCAAACACGCCGGCTTGCAAGTTTTTAACTCTATCCTGTACAATCGGTTAGTTGAACGTGTCACCCTCATCAGGAGAGCACCGTTCCTATCAAACACCCTCAGGAACTCGTCAGCAATTACAACCTTACTCCCATCTTCAGTCATCTGACCAAGGCTAATAATGTTAGATTTCAAACTTGGAATATAATATACCTCAGGTAGTAGCCTTTGATCGCCGTTGTTGCACTGAAAGAGGATAGAGCCTTTCCCCTTGATCTCTACCGCGGATCCATCACCAAACTTGACAGTTCCCTTGATGTTCTCGTCGAGCTCCTTGAACTTGTCTCGGTGGCCGGTCATGTGATTGCTAGCTCCGTTGTCGAGGTACCAAATGTCGTTGGCAACTTGTGCCTCCCCCGCTGTAAGTAAATCCGGCACCACATTCTCCTCATTAAGCAAAATAGCACTTGACGATTCCTCTAACATAGCCATCATCAAGGTTGGCTCCTCGTCATATGCACGGGTGAGATGAGCCTCCTGTTCATGGTTGCGGCGTTGCTTGTGACACTCCGACTGAAAGTGCCCGTATACTCCGCAATTGAAGCATTTGATGTTGGATTTGTCTCGACCACCGCTTGTGCTACTCTCCCCCTCCTGGCGAGCTGCACCTCCATGGCCGAAACCACCTCCTGGACGTCCTCCTCTGCCGCCGAAGCCGCCTCGGCCTGCCTGGCCGCCGTGCTCCCCTCCGCGGCCTGCATGGGCAGCGTGGTGCTGCTGCCCGTTGCCGCGGTGCTGCTGTCCGCCTCGGCCTCTTTGGCCACGCCCTCGTCCGCGACCGGCTCCTCGACCGCGACCTCGTCCGCTACCATCATTGGTTGTAGGTGTTGAGAGGAAGCCTCCGCCGTTCTTCTTGCTCCTTGCTTGCCACTCCGCATGCGTCAACAATAGGTGATCGTCGACGTTGTTTCGAAAAACACGTGCCCTCTCCTCGTGGGCTTTGAGGCGCCCGATCGCCTCCTCGAGTGTCATGTCGTCGATGTCCCCGAACTGTTCAATCGTGGAGACGATAGTAAGGAATCTCTCCGGTACCGCCCGAAGTAGCTTTCTGACGACGTAGTTCTCCTCCATCTCGCCGCCTAAAGCCCGGATCTTGTTGACGACTCCTGTCAACTTCGTCGAAAAATCGTCGACGTTGTCATTCTCCTTCATCCGGAGAAGTTCGAACTCGGACTTCAAGGTCTGCACCTTCGCGTTCCTCACACGATCCGCTCCTAGATGCATTGTTTTCAACGTCTCCCATGCCTCTTTTGCCGTCTGCTTCTCTGCGATCACCATCAAAGTCTCTTCAGGAATCCCCTGGTAGATGGCCGCCAACGCCATCTGATCCTTCCTGTGTTCCACGGACGCGCCTGCCGCGGGCTCAATGGCATCCCACACGTCTTGAGCCTTCATGTAGACTTTCATCTTGATCGCCCACGAAGCATAGTTGTCCCTAGGCATACACCGGCTCTGATACCACTTGTTGGCTTTTGAAATAGGATCGGCCTAAGCTTCTTAACTTGCAAATACAAGGGAGATTTTGGACTGAAGTGGCTGAAATCTTATTGATGGAGAGACTGTAGACAGAGAACGAAACCTGCACTTGTTTACAGAGCAAAAAACGGAACCTGGGAATTTTTCTTTGGGACCGAACACAAAAAAAAACTGCAGACAGAGAGAGGAGAGAACGAACAGAGGAGCAGGAAAATATTCTGAAGTTTTATTCACGTTCTACATAACTCATCAATGTGGTTTACATATATATAGGATTAAGATTACAACTCTAATCTTATCCAATAACTAGAAAAGCTATCTACTAACTAGTATTCTATTCTAACTAGAATTCTATCTACTAACTTGAACTCAACTACCAAATCGGACTGATTAACAACTCACAGGGAACACATCACCTTACTTGACGGCCTCGTCGGTCGGGATTTGGATCCTCTTCACTATCAAAAAAACAGTGAAGGGACCACTACATAATCACGGCCATTGATTATCTAGTTAATGGTTGTGATTTTTTCTTTTAGTGCAAATTAAGAATGAGTGCAATACACAGGGGTATGATAAGTGTTAGATTTAGATTGTATCATAACCGCCTACTAAATAATCAACGATTAAGATTAAAAGCAGTGGTCTCTCCACTACTTTTTTGTAGTGGAGGTGATCCAAATCCCGTCGGTTGGGGCCTTCTTGGCTGCTGTTGCTGGCTCATTTTTGACAGCAATTCGACACAGGATCTCTACTCCCCGATTCTCAGTGATGAACCGCATGAGCAGATGAAGCTGTGCACGGTATTTATGCAGATATGGTATTTGGACGGATCATACGCGTGAGGAGAGGAGACGTGGCGAGTATTTGGGAGAGGACGGGGCACGTGGTCGCTACGGAGAGTTTGAGGTGATGAGTTGATACCCTGAACGCTTGACAAATTTTCTTTTGCAACGGTTAGCTGCTTAATGTTTTGGGTGAAGGATCTAGCTCCAGGCACGCAATTTTGGGCTTTCATTTTTTTTTTTTTTTTTTTTGCAGACCAAGTCTTATTAAAAGTAAAGGAGAGGGGAGGGGAGGGATAAAAAAAAGAAGCTCACTCGTAAATGCAGAGCAAGGAGATTAAAAGATAATTCTGTGAAATAAATAAATTAAATTAAATGCCGTGCCATCATCACCAATAGTCCCCACACGAACACTGGTAACTCCGGAAGTGGTGGAACCTGTTATTGTCCCTCACGATGATCTCTCTTCCAACAATACCCGATATGAACTTTATAGCTCTGTGGCAATCTCCGCAGACCCTGAGGTTCTTGTTGATCCTGATGGGGAGCCCATCGGGAATGCAAAGGAGACCGAAGGCAAGGGCGAGCTTCTCACTGTGCTGAAAAACCTCAGACTCCTTCTCCTCCTCTTCGAGATCGTAGAGGGCAAAGCTGGTGTCAGGCACATAACCAGCAGCCTGCATGTCTCTCTTGACCTTTGCTAGCATTGCTTGTATCTCGGCGTTCCGCTCGTGGGACGTGTCTTTCGCTTGGAAGACGTGGACCACGTTTTTCCAAGTGATCCAGCTGCAGCCGGCACCCTTCTTGATCCCTACGCCCTTCATCTCCTTCCTCACGTCGTTCGCTTCTTCCCACCTGCACGAGACAACCATCAAACAAGCTAGCTTGCTTCAGGCAGCAATCTTGGCAAACTTCAACAGTGCTAGCTAGCTAGCTAGCTAGTTCCACGTCGTAAATTAAGCGCCAGCAGCAGGAGACTGATGCAAAGCGGGGTTGAGAACAAGGGCTAGCGATACCTGCCACGCGAGGCATACATGTTAGACAGCAACACGTGATTTCCAGAATCCATGGGATCGACCTCGAACAATTTCTCGGCCGCGATCCTCCCGAGCTCCATCTTCCCATGGACCCTGCAAGCGGCCAAGGAGCGCTTCCACCCACAACGGCAACGCTGGGGGGCCAGTCATCGGCAAATTCCTTTGAATGGCAGCTCATAACGCCCTCTCCTCCATCCCTGCCCTCCCTAACAAATCCACCACGCACGCATAGTGCTCCGTCCTCGGCTCAATTCCGAACCTCTCTTTCATCGTTTCAAACAGCTCTAGACCCTCCGTCATCCTCCCTCCCCTCGCGCACGCGGATATCACGCAGACAAGAGTCACGTAGTTGGGCGTCATTCTTCCCCTCAGCATCTCTCCAAACAATTCCAGTGCCAGACCAGGATTCCCTTGAGCCGCAAACCCTCCGATCATAGAATTCCAGGTCACCAGATTCCGCTCGGGCAGCCCGTTGAAGACTGCCTCCGCGTCTACAACACTCCCGCATTTCCCATACATATCGACCAGTGAGCTCCCGACGAAGATGTTGCGATCGACGCAGGACCTCACGGCAACGGCATGCACCGCCCTGCCAAGATCCAGCCCCGACAGCCCAGAACACGTCGTTAGTATACTGGAGAGCATGAAGTCGGTGGGCACCAACCCTTCGTGGTCTCTCCTCCCTCTCAGATAGGTCCCGAACGCATCTTCCTCCAGCCCGTTCTGTGCGTAGATCACGATCATGGAGCACCAAGAGACCTCGTCCCTCCGTCGCATCTCGTCAAACACTGACCTCGCCTCGCTCACCAGATGAGCCTTGCCGTAAAAATCAATCAGGCTGTTTCCAACCGAGACGTTAGAGTGGTACCCAGACCGCACGACCAAAGAATGGGTCTGAACCCCCAGCCGCACGAACTCGCCAGTCCACCGCCCGCGTTGAGCAGGGCGGCGCAGTACGCAGAGCCTCGTTGGCGACGCAGGCCTCGCGAGTCCATGTAAGCCGGAGGAAACCGGCACGCGCCCCTGCGGGCCACGCCAGACAGCCGCGTTGGTTTCATGACGGCTTCACGCGACGACGTATCTTGCGGGATTTCGTCAACACACCCTCCTTGGCGTCCAGGGCGGGGGCGCCCGGGACGTGAAGTACATGTCCTCCAGGCCGGGCGGAGTGCGACGTAGACGGGTCGAGGATTGAGGCCGGCCTTGAGGAGAAGCCAGATGGAGCCTGGCGAGCGTTGCTGAGGGGACTTCGGAAGAGCGGAAGGCGGAGGCCTTGAGCGGCGGAGGGGAGGGTGAATGGTCGGTGGGGCGGGCGGGGGGAGCGGAGCATGGAGGGCGAAGACGGAAGGACGAGGGGGGCGCGGCGGTGGATGCGGAGGCGCGGGAGATGACGGAGCGTGAGGAGGTGACGGAGTGGGAGGCGAGGCGAGAGGTAGGCGGACGCGCTCGCGGGAGGGCGGGAGCGTCGACCTTCGAGTTAGAAGTTCATGGGTGGGTCGAGAGGAAGGGCGGAGGCGGCGGGGGAGCAGGACTTGAGGCGACGGCGGTGGGCGGGAGCGCGAGGGAGGGGGGGAGCGGGTGGAGATGGCCCGCCTGCGAATGAAGAGCGCAGGTTTGTATGGGCATGAGGGCGCTGCTGCCTGCTGTCCGGATCATGGGCGAATGATGGCTGGTCGGTGTGCGAGCCGGCATTATATTAACGTTAGCAGCGTGTCCTTTCCTTCAACCCGGTGGTTGTATTATACAGAGGTGTATTTTTAAATCTTCATATTTGTGGCTAATAAAGAGGTGTATTTTTTCCTATGATTATGTGACCTTATTCTTGAAATATTCCTCCACTCACACAACACATGACATGAGAGATAATAAGAAGCTTTACAAGGTAAGATGATAGTTTGAAGATTATTATAGGAAAAAATAAAAGGTCAAATTGATCTTATTCCTCCAATTTATTTTTGAGTTCTATTCTCACTTCTCACCGAGAATTTGAAGTTTAAACATGTCTTGTATTAACGTCCAATGCATGAAATTACTTGAATAGACTCTCAATAAAGAAGTAGATACTCGGTCATGTGAATTGAGAAGGAAGTATACATCCAACGCGCCCCACCCACGCCCCAAACCAACTCTATCCTTTTAGCTGAGAGATATCCTTATGATTATCCACAAACGAAACATACCAGCTGAAGGATTTTCGAAAAGGAACTGCTCCACCACATCTTCATTTTGGGATATTGTTGAACTGTATAGGGCATCACAAGAGAACAGTAGGTTAGCACAAAGAAAAAGAGTTAACTATGTAAGCAACACATGATATGAAGTTCATTAATGTAATAGTTGAAACAACAAAAAGAGATGACGTGTGATGCCCCTGTTTTCACACATGGCTACAGTCCAAGATGAACCCAGAGATATCAAATCTATCATGCACCCACACTGTGCAATAACACGTTTCACCAATCACAGTAATATCCTCTAGTGAAATCAAAAGAAGGTATGTACAAAACAGGCAAAATAAAGAAATAAACGTAATAGACATGATATAGAAAAAGCTATCTCATAAATAAAAATCATATCTCAACTAAAATACATCTGATATATGGAATAAAGAAAATGTCTCAACATGAATTAACTGAAAATCATACTAAGGCATACTGCCTTTACAAAATGAAAATAAAACTCTAAAGTCTGAATGAAATCATAGAAAAATCTATTGTGGAGCTTCTACTAATAACTCATGAGACAGCGACTATGCAAGAACTCCGTCATCAAGCGGCTCTCCGAACCTCTGTGTTGCTTGAAAGAAGAGAAAATAACAAAAGAACCACATAAAGAGCTTCAGAGCGCTACAGCAAGATCACCTCCATCCGTCCCCAGGGGAAGGGCTACTAGATGGAGTGGAGGCTCTATCTATTAAGCATAGTCTACCTAGATTATTTTCATGTATCTAAGTGAAATTAACATTTAAAAAGCTACAATACGAGACGTAGTACGTCGAGCGAAATAATCCAAACAAGGAAACCTCATGTATATACTATTATCTCAAATTGTAGATATCTAAACATTAATACCGAACTAAGAATAAACAACCTATATGAAATCAACAATTAGAAACACAAAACACGAGACTGGTACTTCGAGCGAAATAATCCAAACAAGAAAATCCTTATGTATATATCATATGTCTCAAATTGTGAATCGCTAATCATTGATCCCAACTAAGACATAAAGAAAGCAATAAAGGAAATAAAGACATCATTACATCGTATTTATATTATCCTCCACTATCACTGTGAAGATAGAATTATACTTTCAAGAGCAAAGTATCTCGGTCATATATCTCAATGATGAATCACATCCATAACTGACATCCACCAAAGACTCAGGTTATCAATTAGCTATCTCAGTGCAACTCTTTGCAAGATTTTAAAACTTAGCATTATCATGTGCAACGGACTACTATCTAGGTATCCTAAACAGTGTACACGGCTTATTAGTCTCATCGTGATCTTAGTGTGTAACATGAGTGCGGAAGGGCCTACTATATAGGTATCCAAAAAGACGGCTCACAAGCCTTATCGCACCCTCGTGCGGACGGACTGCTAGACAATGCATCCAAACCCGACTCAATGGCCTGTACGAATGGAATACCGACGCACTACCCCACGTAGTACTGAACTGAGCTCATCAACGTTATCCATTTCATGTATAAACTATGTAAATCTGGTATATCAACGCACTATCTCATATAGTACTGAGCTGTGCTCATCAACGATATCCAACAAGTGTATGAACAATAAACAACCCAACACTTGACAAAATCCCCTCATGATACTCATGTGTGTGCAAACGACATTGTTCTTGTGTATTCATGAGTTTACATATAAAGAAGTGCGGTTCGAACCCCGTGAACACATCTCAAACATATACAAAACACAAACTCAGAAAACAGCCTTAGTAGTCGACTACTACGCTTAGTAGTCGACTACTCTGAGCTCATCCAGAATCTGGAAAATTGGACTAAGTGTGAGTGGTCGACTAATATGAACATTAGTCGACTACTCTGCTATGAAAAACAATTCTGTGAGTCGCACCAGGAAAGGAGTAGTCGACTACACATGTTATTAGTCAACTACTTTGTGTTAAACAGATTTCTGTTTCTCGGGTTTTGATGTTTTGTGATTATTTCTTAAACAAAACTCATTCAAATCACATGGTGTTGACCTTCTTGTTTTGATGATGACAAACAAACAATTTATTACTAATGTTGTTTGTCTAGTGTTTGTGCATTCCTATGTATTGTAGACAAACAACGTAGTTGGAGGATGGATGGATTGCGCCATAACGACGATATCAAATGGAGGTTGGCGGAATTGTGGAGTGAAGCAACGTCAATTCAAGTTAAAGATCCAATTACAAGCTTCTTCCGCAAAGTTTACCAAGTCATGCTCATTGAAGATCTTCATCAAGCTTGGGTATACTTAGTATAGGTTTATATACTGTGTGACATTCTATGAGCTCAAATACACACACATACATCATTTATGAATTTTTCATTAAAACAAAGGTTTTTATGCAAAATACATTCAAATATGTTTTGGGTCATATAAACTATGTTAATATCCTTTACTATGCCCATATAAAGTATATACAAGTTTTCATTTGTTGATTTGAACCAAAATGACAAAAACAACATGTTTTGAAAAACATGTATTTTAGCCTTTTTGCATATTCAAATGTTTTTACAAATGGGAAGAGCTATTTGAAAAATTCCTTTTCCAACATGTTCATATTCATGTTCATAAACTTTCCCCAAAGTTTTACATTTTTTGGAAATTATTTGCTATTTTTAATAGAGCTTCAAAAATCATCTTCAGAACTGATTCTGGCAGATTTCTTGTTATCCGTCGACTGATGTGTCGACTGAAAAACATGGCTGGAATCTTCATTTAGCCTCTGCTCTATTTCAGTCGGCTGATGTGTCGACTGACCATGTCAGTCGACTGATAAGTTTTCATCAGTCGACTGAAAAGCTGGCATTTGAATTTAACGACCAGCTCATCAGTCGACTGACACCTCCCGTCAGTCGACTGATAAGCTCTCCAACGGCTAGTTCTGAGAAAAATCTGGTTCTTGCTTTTTGGGATATTTTGCTGGTCTTCATTGGGTTTTGTGCACGGTTTTCTCTTCCTATATAAACCCCCTAATGTATTCTTCAAAAAAGATTTTTTTTTGTGTTTTTAACAAAAGTTTAAAAGATTATCAAAGTTTGTTTAAGAGTTTTAGTTTGGTTTAACAAGAGGTGGCTTGCTCTTCAAATTGAGGAATTCATCATCAATCTTCTTCAACCTCTCTTGTGTTTTATAGAGAAGTTTTCTAACTCTATTCTCTAGCAATTTGTTCTTGATTGTTTATACATTATCATTGCTAGTTTGTTGATTGAGTTAGATTTCATTTATTCTCTTTTATCACACTTATCCACATTTGAGCTTATAGTGTTTCATACAATATATTGTTGGATAGTAGTGTGTGATTTAGTGATATTAGGATTCATTGAGTTCTCATCTATTGTAGAGAACAATTTATATTTGTTACATTGTGAGATTGTTAGGTTTTCGGTGAGCTAGAAACCGAGTGTGTTGTGAAGTTTTCGGTGAACTAGAAAACCGATTGTGAGGAGTGACGTTGATCGGTGAGCGTTGAAAACCGATACTGTGAGGTGTAAACGTTATTCGGGTGAACGTAGAAAACCCGGTTGATAGTGGATTTCTCCCCGGGAGTGGGGAGCGGAGACGTAGGACGGAAGGTCCGAACTCCGTGATCATATTGCTTGTTTGAGTGTTGCATATTCTTGCACATAACTCTTTGTATATCTATCTTGCAAGAATATATTTGTTAATTAGTTTTAATTGGCATTTAATCGGATTAGATTAGCATAAGACCCTAATCACCCCCCCTCTAGGGTCTAACACATGGAACATAGAAAAAATGTCTTAGTCTTCTGAAATTTATTATCAGAGATTAGTTCACATGATTTAACTATTTGATTAAACCTAATTAGGGTTTAACTTCATAATTATTCAAATTCTCACATAAAAGCATGAATTATCACATGATTAACTTGGACAGTGTTATAACTAACATTTAATAAAGATAAGTTTGTTTAAAACACATTCATGTCATTGTGATCTCACAACCTAGGGTTTAAGCATGATTAATTTATAAGAAAACTCGATTAATTAACAAACTAGAGTTTGCACATGGTTTAAACTTAATTAATAAATTAAAAATGAAATTAACATTTATCCTGATGATCATGATCATGTTTCTAATGTAAACAACAAGAGAACCATGTAGATCTAACATTTGTTTACAGTTTATAATATCAAAAATCTAATCTTTTTCACATTAGATTAAGTTCTAAGCATCATATCTGTCATATTACTTTATAAAAACGTATTTATAAACTATGGGTAAGGTTTGAATGCAGATGATCTTGCCTTAATCTCGTGTGCAAGCCTCTGAAACGAACAACAAGCAATCCAAAATTGCAAACAACTCATTGTCCCTTGCCACACGTCGATGATCTCGCCCTCGTGTCGGTATTTTGCTTCACAAAGCTCACAAAACTCACAAGAAATTACACACGTCGATGATCTCGCCCTCGTGTCGGTATTTTGCTTCACAAAGCTCACAAAACTCACAAGAAATTAATCTAGGGTTTTTGAGGGGAGAGGGTACGGTATTTTGCTTCACAAAGCTCACAAAACTCACAAGAAATTAATCTAGGGTTTTTGAGGGGAGAGGGTAGCTGTTATGGTTCAGAGATATGATAAAAGAGAATAATTTTTGTGAAAAAACACAGGTATTTATAGAGCTAAACCCGAAACAAACCCGTTTGATCCGAACCAGGAAACCTAATCTGGCTAAGAAAATAACCTTCGGTATTTTAGCTGTAATTTTCTCGTCCGCCTTCAGAATGAGGTGATTTAAGATTTGTTGGAAAGCTATTGAAGATACTTACAACTTTTATCTTTTGAGTTTTTCCAGATTCAAACTGCATCGGCGTGTAAAACACGTATACTCTTAACTGATAGTTTTTCCAGATTTCAGGCTCGTGTATATAGTGCATGATTCCGTGCATGTTTCTCATCTATATTCACATATATACATTTGATTGATCTCAAATCAATCCCTAGCATACTCAAACATCAAAATATGTCATTTATAACCATATAACATATTTATTACCATTTATTACAATTTATTCAAACTTTTAGGGTTTTACATGACTGGAACAAGGTATCTATTGAGGCACAACACACCAAAGAGGTGGGTATTCCACTTGGAGAATATTATGGGAAGAGAAGCAATACGCTAACATTTAAACATACACCTACAAGTGCTATACACATGCCATCCACCAGCTTTTATTCTTTAAATTTTCATTACGTGCAAAGTAAAAAAAAACATTATTAGCAGATATTTTTATTCAAAATGAAATAGATACTGAGGATCTAATAAAATGTGATAATCATTAGGGTTAGGGTTTGGGTGAGAGTTAAGGATACAGTTAGTGATATGGTTGAAGTTGGGTTAGGGTCATGGTTCGGGTTGGGATTGGTGTTAGGGTTAGGGTTAGGTTTAGGATTAACATTAGGGTTAGGGTGAGGGTTAGGATTCGTATGTTTTTAATAGTTTATTCTTTTAAAAGGAGTTATTTTTTTCAAAGCTCTACTAGTTTGAATTCTAAATTGGGTGGTTGGAGTTGGTGAATCGGGTTATGTTCCATGTGAATCTCGGACGATTGAACCCAGGCCCTAGTTCGCTATAGCTTACCACATTCCCGACTTCTATGGATAGTTTTATTGAAGGATATTGTCTATATGTGTTACTGAATAGGTTAGCTAAGCTCAAAGAGTTTGGTTTGAGCAAGTGGCTAAGCTGATTAACTAAGAAATATGTAGTCCTATCGCAGGTGAATCTGCATTGAGCTAGTATATTTTCTCATTCACCATTTGTTTCTCTTTAAAAAAAAAGATCACATAAGTTATTATATTATCATGAAGCTTCAGGATATAATGAAACCACAAGCCTGGTTGTAGGACATATTTCTTTCACCTCTTCTTTCACCCAGCGTAAAAAATCAATCTTCCCCATGTGAACTGTCTTTCCATTTCGAACAAGACAAATACCACATTCTTTTATCACTCTTGCTTCAAAGACCATGCATCCAGCCACATGCCCACTGCCACTGCTGAAAGTGGCTCGGAAATATGCTGCTCCTATATATATTTGTTCCTAAAATATACGAAGGGGGGAATTCATCGACATGGATTTCAACATATATAAAAGTTAAAATTAGCTCATCCCTTGTCATTTTACCTTAACAGGCTCAAAAAGTCCTTCCGTTGCACTCCTCATTTCATCAGTAAGTTCATAGATGGCTCTACATAGTCTAATATCCACATTCTTTTTGTTTGCATAGCTCTTAACCGAACCTGGAGACATTGAATCTAAATATAATGGCCTCAGTGGCAACAGCCAGATCCACATCACTAGTGCTCACATCACCTCGAACTTGGAGGAATTTCAAAGTTACATTATCCTGGGGGAGTACTTGAAGAGCATTCCTGATTGCTTCAATTGAACCCTATTCATTAAAGAAAATGATAGCATGTCAACCAGGATAACTTATAATCATGAACATACTGTTTGCTTACTTAAAGTATATGAAAGGAAGAAAAAAAATGCAATCATAACACAATCAATACCTGACATGAACTTTTAGAATAATATTTAGCTGGTGTATGTCTAATCCAGACTGCTTTCCCGCTGAACAGCAGAAGCAACTGAAGATATACCGACCTTCCCCTCCCCAGCCTTTGCGGATATCCTTGTATCCCGTGATGATACAGCGCATGTTTCAGCTCTTTCCCGAGCAACATCTAAAGAATCTACGGCCTCAAATTCATCACCAGCAATAGGAACACCACTCAAGCCAATGACCTAGAGGCAGGAAACAAACAGAATAACTGAGGACAAGAACACTCAAATAGAAAAGGTGAACATCACATACTGCATATAAATAGCTTTTATGCCTAAAACAGTTTCATATATTGCAAGTATAATAAATCTCAGAATATAACCTAAGAATAAATGAAAATGAAGAAGGCAGACAACATAACAGTCGAACGACAATACCTGCACAGCCATTGAGGGACCAGCTTCAACAACGTGCCCTCCCCTATCATCAAATAAAGCACACATATGAGAGTTGAAGATTAGTACAAAGATTATCAGTTAAAAATGACATAAATCATCTCTAGGAACGAAAAGGTTGGCCTTAAGTGGTTGTATATTGAGATTAATCAGTTCTTCATTTCACCTTTCTATGTGCTGCACCACAGACAACAATATCACCCTTCTTCAGCGTTCCATTCTGCACAATGAGTGGCAATGGGTCCTCTTCATTTATCAAGACCTGCCTCTATCTCTGTCCCCATTATATGGCACTGAAATTAATTCATTTACTTCTGCAACAAGCATAACAGTTTCCAACAGCTCGTCCACATTATTATTTCCTTTAAGAGCGCTAATCTGATACAAAAGACACAAAATTAGCTTCTTCCAAGATTTAAGAATTATAAAATCATAAAGTCACTATTTGTACTTTTGGAAATAACCCGAACACTAGGGATGTCACCACCCCACAGTTCTGGCATGAGGCCGACTGAGGAAATTTCTTGCATAACCCTGTCAGGATTAGCTCCGTCTTTGTCTATCTGAGAACAACAGAATTTCTCACAGAATATTATATAATGAACAAGTTACAGTGGTATCTAGCGAACATAGTTTATAGCTATTATGATAGGCATCCCAGCAGCCTTGGCGTGAGCCATTGCCTCTCTTGTTTGGGGCCGGACTCCATAAGCAGCAGCCACCGTGATGATGGTAATGTCAGTAACTCTTGCACTGCGTGCCCTCACTGCACCAAATTCCAGTTAAATGTCAATAACTTAACTGGATGAAGCCGTATATTAGTTAAAAACTCAAGCAGGAGAGTTTGAAAAGTGTGGATGAGAAAAGAAAGGGCTGAAATTACCACACCAATTTAGTCAAATTCAAAATATTCAGAGTTGCAGCTACAAACAAAACCATGACATAAAAAATACTTTATGTTTACCTCAGGCCCTGGTGTGTCAAGAGAAACACAGGGCTGGAGCTTTCCATCGACAGGAACAAGGACCTTACATGCTCCAATACATTGTGTAATGCCGCCAGCTTCAGATGCTGCCATGCGAGTGTAATTTGGCAGATTCTTTTGAAGATAAGCAACTGAATTGAATTGAAACTCTCAAGTTGGTAAGAGATTCAAAATTTACCTTGCTCTTGCGGATATAGTCCAGAAGAGTTGTCTGTTAATACATAAATAGATGAGCATACGCCAGAGCTAAAAGCATTTAGCTTAGATTTAAACCCAAATCATGCTGAGGGCAGGCAAATGTAAAATCAGAATCACAGGGAAAGCAAGTACTTTCCATGTTTGACATGACCCCTTATTGTAGTAACTGGAGGCCTGTCTTCCAGCATGTCCAAGTCATCCTCATCAAGCAATTGCAACATCCCTTAGATCCTTCTCCTCAACCTTCATCTCCTATCATAATTTTAAATACCCCGACCTTGATCATCATCCTCCTGTCCAAGCTACTAATAGCATATCATTCCTGATTTCAGTGTCGCACTATCAGTATCTGCAAGTTTAATCTAACATATAATTGCTGACATCAGCGTCATCCAGGGCCCTGGTGTAAAATTATAGAGTCTAATTAACTATTTTTGGTGGGATCTAAGTAAAATAATACTCTCCCCATGCATGCGGTAGCAGAATAAGGCATAAGCATTTGCATGTGGACTAGCTAGAGATTAGTAATTATCAAAAATGTATGAATTGCTGTAGTCTCAAAACAAATTAATAAAGGTTATGGTGTCATCTCAGTCCTTTAATCTTTATTAGGGGTACCATGATTATTGATTAGTTGAAAAGGAAGCCAACTAGGTAGAAGAGCCATGTGACGGAATGTGTGCATGTGTTTGCCAATGCCAAGACATTCCATGATGCTGCTCCATAAATTTCACCTTTTCTGTCCCTAACTACCTTTGCCTTTGCCTTGTATCTAATGATTAGTATGCATCATAGAGGCCGGTATAATATTGCATGATCAGGCATGTTCAAAGGAATCAATCAACACTTGCATACATATGCATTTAACTCTTCGCCCCCGTGAAGTTCCCTGTAATTTCAGCTGCTCGATCAGAGGAAGAAATGTTAATTAATTGATACCAAGGTCATTACACTTTATCCCATTGCCTTTCCACATTTCTTTATGCATTCTTCTTAGTATCTGTGACAGATAAAAGTGTGGGCCGGTATAATATTTAAAACGGGTAGTCTAAGTCATCCCATATATGACCCAAACTCATGTATCTCGACCCGTATCCGTTAACAAGGTTTAGGAGGTCAAATCCCACCCCCTTCCCCCTTCCCCCCACCAAATTAAAAAAGAAGAAGAAAAAAAAACGATGTTGCATAATTGTTGACAAGAATGGAAACAAGTAGAAAATATAATACTTATGGTGGGATAGAAGATTCTGAAAGAACATACCTAAATATAAAAGCAGATATACAGAAGTCAGCAGGAGGTGATACAAATATAATCCACATGGAACTTCCTGCATGAGTTGACACAAAAGAAACAAGATAATTAAATATTCTTGAATCTGTTCTCAGTCCAAGAAAAATGTACACGTCTAGAGCATCTCATACCTAGTGCGACAACTAGATGTCTAGGAGCAATTCTTTCATCATCCAGAATTTGATTCCTTCTAAGAACTCAAATCCACCTGAAAGTCTTCTACTATAACTATATAATGCTACAACCCACAATTTTCTTCACAGATCTTTCTTCAATCAATTTCCTTGTCTTCTTTGCATCCTCCCACAGCCCTGCTGCGGCATAAATATTAGCAAGAACAACATAGTTCACGGATCTTTCAGGGTCTAACTGAAAAAGATTTGCTGCAGTAATTCTTCCGAGGGATGTGTTTCCATGTATACTACAAGCCCCAAGCAAAGAGCCCCAAAGTGATAAGTTGGGCATAGCATCCATATTACATGCCAGATTATAAGCGTCTTCCAGTAGACCTCCACGTGCAAGTAGATCAATGACACATGAGTAGTGTTCAACTCTAGGACGGATATGATACTTGCTCATCATTAGACTAAAGAAATTTATCCCTTCGGTAATCAATCCAGAATGACTGCATGCAAAGAGAAGTGAAAGAAAAGTAACATCATTTGGTCTCACTCCATCATCCTCCATCTTAACAAAGAGGGTAATTGCACCTTCGCCATAGCCATGTTTACTGTAACTGGTGATCAATGAAGTCCATGATATTATATTTTTATCTTCTATCTCGTCAAAAGCTTGATGAGCATCCTCAAGCTCTCCTGTCTTGGCATACATGTCGATGAGAGCATTTCCAAAGGCTACATCAAGGATAGGTTGTTTCTTGAGAGCACATGCATGAATTTGTCTTCCTAAGCTTAATGAAGTAACATTGGCACATATATTGATCATGGAGCAGAGGATGACATCATCCAATGTCATACCTGTTTTATTTATCTCACGGAAAAGGTTCAATGCCTCCCTATAAGAGGTTCTCTCTGATGAGTAACCATTGATTAAGGCCGTGCAGGATATCAGATCATGTTTGAGCATTGAGTCATACAGAATCTTTGCTTTGTGTATCCTCCTACATGTTGCATAGGCATCTATCAGTGATCCGGTGACAACATCGTGATTCCCATATCCCAGTTTTATAATGAAAGCATGCGTCTGATTCACATTGCTTAGAGCTTTAGTACAACTGTATGCCTTCAGAGCACTTGCAAAAGTGAAATGATCTGGAAGAAAGCCTGCTTAAGCGCGAATAATAAAAGATTAAAATAAAAACATTGATAAACTAACAATTTTACAAATATAAGTAGCAAATTATAGACAACCATGGGTTACGCTGACCATTGATGGCGTAAAGGAATGGATTAAAAACATTAGGAACAGATGTGAAAGTTGATGAATATAAGTTGTAGTGTTCTATAAAAAAGCATGTAACTGGTAGGTGCAAAATGCGCATGATTCAGTGTGAAGCAAGGCAGAGGTCGCAGACTGTAATCTTATATTATGAGAAAATTGGAAGAATGTTCATTATGCACCACGTTGAACGGAAGATAAGCTGACATAAAAGTGACGACATGTTTGTATCCATCAAGCTTGTCTGTCTGACATTGAACAACTTCACATGAAAGCGTTTGTGTTGCACAGTTTTCACATCTTTTCAAGTTTGACATTCCCTAGAAATGCATCCATTTCTGATTGGGGTATATATTGGTGTGCCTTTCAAGAGATTAGTTTCATGTGTAATCGCAAAGACGATCATCTGCTTTTGAATCAAACAAGGAAAATCATATTTCATCTTATGTGGTTTCAAGAGCTCAAACTGGTTTGTGTCCTTTCTGAGCATTGCTTTCCAGTCTAAGTCCCTGTACCATATTGATACAAATATAGAAGCAGGTTATCAGATTGCCTGTCTGAGCAAGCAGCATCACAAATAAAAAAAAATTTAAGAAGGCATAGTGAGAATTACCATCTCTTAGCATGGAGCAGAACAGTCCTAATGCATCATCCCCTAAGCCTCTAATTCCATGTCCTCCGATCACCAAATTCCAAGAGATGACATCCCTCCTTCCCATTCTCTGAAAAAGACAGCGGGCATCCTCAACCGACCCACACTTCAAATGAAAATCTAGAAGAGCACTCTGAACAAAGATATCTTGGGAAAATCTACTCTTCTCAACGCATCCCTGGATTTGCTGCCCAATTCCAAAGGCATCCATTCTAGTACAAGCGCTGAGAGTGGCACCAAAAGTGAATTGATTGGGAGAGAAACCAGAGCCGCAATGCATCAAAGAGAACAAGTGCAAGGCATCTTCTGAGAAACCATTCTGAGCATAGCCTGAAATCATGGCAGTCCATGAGACGATGCTCCTTTGAGGCATTGCATCGAACATCTTGCGAGCAGAAGCCAAGTCGGCGGTGACTTTAGAGTGAAAGATGATAAATTTGGTGCTCAAGTGCAAATCTGGGGAGTAGCCAATCACTGTAAGATGAGTTTGGAGAGTGAGACCCTCTTGTCTTGAATTGGAATCAATGCAGAATTGGAGGATAGATGAGTAGACAGCCGCGGCAGCGACAGAGTTTGATGATGATGAAGATGAAGAAGCAGGGTTAGGGTAGAGAGATTGAAGAGCTTCCTTGAGTCGACCTAGCTTGCACAAGCTTCTTATATTCATCATCATCATGTCTTTAGATCGTTGTTGGGTGTGGATTAATTGAAATCTCCTTCGCGAATTTTCCCCCTAAGTAGTAAAGTTGCCTGAACTGTCATAAGATAGTATGATTTTATTTGTTCAAATTCGTTCAAGAGATCATCTAAGGAATCAAATACATTAATTTGAGAGATTTAAAAGCCTCGAGTCAAATTATGGATTTATACTTAAAATCACGAAGGATTAATTGTATTTATGGATTTAAAAGTTTAACCGTGATTTCTTTAGCCTTATATCAAACGAGCCCTAAATGTTTATCAAAGACTGTAACCAAATTAAGGTATCTCTTTGATTAAAAAAATTATCTTCTTAAAGATATAAAATTTACAATTCATATTATTCGTATAAGTAAGCCTTTTTTATCCTTCTTATTATAGCTAAGTATGGGCATGTCTTCAATTTTCCACCCAGGGGTAAAGAGAGTATACATCCATGTATGCGTGTGCAAACGGTCGGTCGGGTTGGGTTTTTATCAAATTTTCCTGCAGTGAACCGGACTGCCTATTATTCAAAACCGACCCGAACTGCTCCAAGTCGGTTCGGGGCGGTTCGGTCGATTTGTTCGATTCTGACATGGCTGTGATGCATTCAAATGTATGAGTAAGGTTCCTGTATTCAATCCTAAAACTTAAGACTAAGGAATTGAACTTGTATTGCACAGGTATCCTATAACTGAATGAAAGTGAACATCGTATTTAACAGTGAGGACAGTAACAATGACAAGTGACAACTCCTTCTTATTAAGAAGGTCACGAAAAAAAATACCTGATCAAAATGTATCATTGCTGTGCAAGCCTGTACTACTACACCACTTGAGTAATCTTGACTTGCTAATGACCTACGTAACCAAGGGCTTTAATTAGTATGTCATTATGTCATTGAAATGAATAGGAATTAGACATTGTATAATTCGTGAATTTTGCAATAGATGGTTAGAAGTGCTCATTTTGAAGAAGGGAAAAAAAGAAGACCTAGAAAGTAATTATAAACGCAATCCTGCAACTGGGATTACTCAATACAGTTTATTAGCATATAACAACCAAAGATTCTAGGGTTTCGCTAGAATTCAATCAAAAAGTTCGGATTTTTTTGCTTGTTGAATGAATTATGAACAGAATCAAAATTAGGGTCTTCAGTTTATACCTTCACTATCGGTGTCTCCAAAATAGGAGATGGATCTTGAGATGGTTCGGCCATGATGAAGAAACGAATAGAGGAAGAGAGTAAGGGTTTCTCTCAGATCTTTGCTCGAAGAGGTTTCAGATGGCGATGATGATGAGGTGAATGATGATGAAGACTGAAGAGGTGGCGAGTTGAGGTAGCAAGGCGGCAAGTTGAGGCGGCGATTCGGCGGTGATGGTGATGATGTCGCAGACCTCCGTAGTCGGAAAGTGTGAGAAGAAAAGAGAGAGATGAGAAGTCTCGCCATTCTTCTGATTTTGGTCGGTTCGGGTTAAAAAATTTTCAACCTGATCCGAACTGATCTATCCTTCAAAACTGACCCGAATTGCCAGTTTTCGGACGGTTTGGTAGGTTTTTTCGGTTTGAATTGCACCATGCTCAGCCCTACATCCATGCTCAGCATCCTAGAAAATTTTGGGGCAGACTTAACACTGGGGTAAAGTTTACCATATTAAATAATATCCTATTTTTACCCACATTTGTTATCCTTCTAAAACTTCATTTAGGGTAAGGTTGGGGGAAACTTTTAACCAAGTTAGTAAATAGGAGAAAAAGGGTGAAAATTTGAGACTTGGTTCATGTAAGCATGTGATGCGAAAGTACAAAAAGCTCCTCCCTCAAACTTGAAAATCGGCAAGATTCAAATTCATTGTAAACTAAAAAATTTATAAACTATCCCCACCCCAAACAATTATAAAATTATAAAAACACCCTCAATAATGTAAACCTCAACAAAAATCATCAAAATTTCTGAAAATTTCAAAACTTCAAAAAAACACGAAAGATTTCAAACATAAAAACAGCCCTAGACAAAGCTTAAAATTATAGAAGACACCCTTAAACTTTTGAAAATTGCCAAAATACACATAATTGTTTGAAATTTACAAAAGACCCTAAAAATTTCAAAAGTACAAACACTATATTGAAATTCTAGGAACCCTAAACAGCCTCCTAGAAAAATTAAAATTCACAAAAAACACCCAAAAAGTCGGGCAAATTGCAAGAAACAACTTCAAATTTCAATTTTACAAAAAAAAACTAAGAATGTCAATCTTACATAAAAAAGTAGAATTAGGTTTATGGTCAGGATCAGGGCTAGGGTTAGGGCTAGGACTAGGGTTAGGGTTAGGGTCAGGGTCAGGGTTAAGGGTGTTAGGGTTAGGGTTAGGGTTAGGGTCAGGTTGGGTGTGGGGTTGGGGTTGGGGTTGGGGTTGGGGTTAGGGTTAGGGTTAGGGTTCAGAGTTAGGTTAGGGTTGGGGTTGGGGTTAGGGTTAGGGTTAGGGTTAGGGTTTTTAAGGTTAAGGTTAGGGTTTAGGGTTTTAAATGGGTTAGGTTAGGGTTCTAGGGTTAGGGTTAGGGTTAGGGTTATTATGGTTAGGGTTAGGGTTAGAGTTATTATGGTTAGGGTTAGGGTTTAGGGTTGGGGTTAGGGTCAGGGTCAGGGGATCAGGGTCAGGGTTTTAATTAGATCTATTTTCAAAAAACCTCCTTATGAACTCTTTTTTGGCAAAACCCCAAATATTGGATATTTTCGAATCTTTGGTTGCAAATGTTTTATCTTAAACACTAAATATCACCATGATAAGTTTGATTCAAATATTGATAGTGGTATATTTTTGGGATATACATCATGGAGTAAGGCGTATCGGGTTTTCAACAAACAAACACTCGTTGTTGAAGAGTCTGTAAACGTTACTTTTGATGAAACTAATGGTAGTTCACAAGATGGTTTGCCTAGGGATGATGATGATATTGAGGGAAGATTGGAGCTTTTGCAAATAAACGACTAACCTTCAACGGATGCACCAAATATTGAGAAAGTCAACAATGAACAAAATCTAGAAGAACTCCCCAAGACATGGAAATTTGCACTGGATTATCCCAAGTAACAAATTATAGGGAGTACATCCAAAGGCGTCATGACTCGCTCAAAAGCAATGAACGAATGTGGTAATGTATCTTACTTATCACAAATTGAGCCTAAACGTATTGATGATGCTTTAAAAGATGAGTTTTGAGTTTTAGCTATGCATGATAAAGTGAACAATTTTAGCTATGCAAGATTGGAATCAATAGGATGTTTTTGACCTTTGCTAGTTTTAAAAAGTTATTTCAAATGGTTGTTAAAAGTCCTTTCTTGAATGGTTTTATAGAAGAAGAGGTATATGTTGAGCAACCCCCGGGCTTTATTGATTCTTCATTTTCAAATCATGTTTACCAGGTTCAAAAAGCTTTATATGGGTTAAAACAAGCTCCTAGAGCTTGGTATGATCGCCTCTCAAGTTTTCTTATTGATAATGATTTTTTAAAAGGAAAAATTGACAATACTCTTTTTGTTAGAAAAAAAAATGATTTCATTTTGGTTCAAATTTATATTGATGATATTATTTTTGGTACCACTAATGAATCTTTGTGCAAGGATTTTTTCAAAATTATGCAAGATCAATTTGAGATGAGCATCATGAGAGAGCTTACGTTCTTTCTCGGTCTCCAAGTCAAACAAATAAATGATGGAATATTCGTGTCGCAAAGCAAATATGCTAGAGAGTTGGTCAAGAAATTCAAGATGGAGAATTCCAAACATACACCAACTCCAATGCGCACAGCCATCAAGTTGGATGCGGATGAGAGTGGTGAGAAGGTAGACCAATAATTTTATCAAGGTATGATTGGTAGTCTACTTTATCTTACCGCTAGTAGGCCGAATATAATATTTAGTGTTTGTGCATGTGCACGTTTTTAGGCTTCTCCTAAAAAATCTCATTTGGTTGCGGTCAAAAAAATTATTAAGTATATTAATGGCACCATAGAACTTAGTTTATTTTATCCTAAAAACACATCTTTTGATCTTTGTGGATGTTGTGATGCCGACTTTGCTGGTTGTAGGGTAGACCGCAAGAATATGAATGGTACATGTCAAGTTTTTGGTAACTCTCTTGTGTCTTGAACATCCAAGAAATAAAATTGTGTTGTCTTGTCCACTATAGAAGCGGAAGACATTGCCGTTGGCTTGTGTTGTGCACAACTTTTATGGATGAAACAAAATTTGCTTGATTTTGATTTATATTTTCATGATACAAAAATACTTTGTGATAATACTAGTGTTATTAATATTTAAAAAAAATTTGTTTTGCATTCTAGAACCAAGCATATAGATGTACGCCATTATTTCTTACGTGATCATGTAGAGGAAAGATGTATCTCTTGTTTATATTGATACTGAATCACAATTAGCAAAACATCCTTACCAAGCCTCTTTGTGAAGAAAATTTTTGTCGCATAAGAAATGAGTTGGGCATGTGCATTCTTTGATTGGTTGTTTTAATGACTTTGTTTGATATTGGTTTTTGATCTATCACTTTTATATCTTAATATTTGATTTATATTCATTGTCATAACATGTTTAAACACACTAGGATACTTTGTGTGAGTAGTTGGGAGAGATTGGGTCTATTCTAAGAGGAGTGGGTTGGTAGTAATGCATAGGGAGAGGTTATAAATCCAAACACTTGAGGAATGTGACACGTGTAGGCCAACACTTGGCGGGTATCTTGTGGGTTTTTGCATGCATCTTGTTTTATCTACCCCATTTTTTAATGGTGCCAAAGGGGGAGAAACATCTCTTTTGTGCACATAGTTAGGGGGAGAGAGCCTTATAGATAGGGGGAGCAACTATCTATAAGCTAAATATTCACTTTTATTTGCTCTTGAATAATGGTTGTTTGTCATCATGAAAAGTGGAAGATTGTTGGCCTTTTTGTTTTGATGATAATTTACAAACATCATTATTGGTGCTAATTGCTTGTTGAGCTATATTGTGTAGATTACAATTTATCAAGCTTGTTAGCATCATTATTGGAGGATTTGATGGAACAACAAGCTACAACGATGATATCCAAGGAGGTGGAGGCAAAGTGATGAAGCAAAGCTTTCAAAGAGCACAACATACAAGAGAAGCTTCATCAATATAGAAGCAAATATCAAGACTCAAGCTATGTACTTATATGTGAGGGATATTTATATTTTTATTTCTCTCTAGTGCTTAATGTAGGAAAGTGGTATGATAGATTACATTTGAAGTTCTTAGGATAACACAGTCACACATTTTCAAAACTCGTATTTTGACATTTTTGCTAAACGTTGAGTTTTCACAAATACGAGGTTCTTTTTGCAAAAAAAATTCAAACAAGTTTGTTATTATACTTGAAAACTTTTTCCAAAGTTTCACATTTTTTAGAATTTATTTACTATTTTTTAAATGCCCTAAAAATTCTTTTTCAAAAATCAAAACAGGCTGAAAATCTATTATCAATCGACTGATACAAAAGGATCAGTCAACTGAAAAAACTGGCTAGAATCATCAAAAGTTTTTGCTTTTGTGACTGACGATCTATCAGTCGACTGATGAATCCTTCAGTCGACTGATAAGCTCTTCAGTCGACCGACGAGCTGCAAACCGCTTACAACGGTCAGCTCATCAGTCGACTGACGAACCCCATCAGTCGACTGATAAGCTTCTAACGGCTAGTTTTGTCCTATTTCTAGATTTTTTGAGTTTTGAATGTTTTTGTCTTTTTCTTTGGGGTTAGGGCCGATCTCTTGAATGCTTATAAATACCCAGCTACCCCATTCATTTCAGT